GACTGGAGCACAGCATCAGACCTGTCCTCGTCAGCTCTCTTCAGCCCACTGAGTACGACAATTTCAAGGCAGAAACGTGTACAGACGCTTTGGGACAGATTTGGTCTATACGCTCGTAGGCCTGTTCAGATGTGTTCCGCTCACTGGCAACTCACTGTCGCCAGCGGTTATCCTGGAGTAGAGAGCATGCATTGTGGACACCGCAACAGTGGGCTTGTGTGATGTTTTCCGACGTGTCCAGGTTTAGCTTACAAACTGATTCTAGCCGGACTTTCATATGGAGAGCTCCAGATACCCGTTACCACCAAGAAAACATTACTGAACGACACCGTTACGGTGGTGCAGGAGTGCTCGTTTGGGGTGGAATTATTCTGGGTTCCAGAACTGACCTGCATGTTCAAATTGGAACCATGACAAGCCAAATCTATCGACGTCATTCTGAAACAACATGTACGTTTGTTTCGGGGCGCCATGGGTGCACAATTTGTGTTTATGGATGACAACGGCCGTCCTCACCGTGCAAACATCGTAAGTGAATGCCTTCAATCGGAGGATAGCACCCGTATGGACTGGCCAGCATTCTCACCGGACTTGAATCCAGTAGAGCACGTGTGGGATATGCTTGGCCGACGAGTTGCAGCCCGCCAACCTCCTCTTGCATGTCTATCGGAACTTCGGAGAGCATTGCTTTTTGAGTGGTGTAATATCCCCCAAGATCAGATCGATAATTTGATACTCAGCATGCCTAGGCGTTGTACGGATTGTATTGCATTGTATGGGAGACATACAATGTATTAACAATCATACCAACCGTGTAATATTGATTTTCTGTAAATAGGCGTTTTTTGTAATTTGCTCCAGGGAGAAAAAATCGCTAATTTTTTAATAATATCAAACATATAGCATCTTTTTTTGATCATTACCTTTTGTTTAATAAATAAGCTTTACAAATAAGTCAGATTTGTTTTCCTTCTAACTCTTCCTTTGCCTGATTTTGCATTATCCTTAATTTATGGACATGAGTGTAATATGTGATACTCTACATAAAATTGTGGGGGTGCGAATTGCGCCCATGAGCAAGTGTGATGAAAAATATATTTGTGATAATTAGTTCTTATCCACCAATAAATGTGCTCTTCAATTCGGCCACATCTGTCTACAAGCCTTTCTTTCGAGTATCATCTTTCTAACTTCGCAGTAAAGTTGTAAGGTTTTAAGTTAAACTAACCAAATTTCTTTTAAGTTACCCTTTCCTGTGAACTCTTATTTCAACTTCCCTTCAGAATGAGCGCGCGGTTCAGCTTTATGCTAATTTGTGTTTGAGCCAAGTTTTGTTATTTAAAGGTTAGTGAGAAACTTCTCAGGTGTGAGAGAGCTTTTAGTCTCAGACCATGTCGGCTCGGTGGACATTCGCCAGACTAGTTAGTATTTAAATTCTTACGTCTTAGCGCTATTGCTCTAATATTGATTGAAGTGATTTACGTGCGTTAGTACTTAGCAAAGGCTTGCTACGCACCATAAATAGGCCAATCTCGCGTTTAAGCTTTGTGAACAGCGACTATTTAAATGTTTGCTGAAGCTTTACTTTAAATTGTTTGATTATTCAGTTTAAACCCAAGCGCGGTCATTATTTTTCTCTTATCACTCCCGAGCTGGGAGTTGCTGTAAATAGTGATTTAAATAAAAGGATCTTTTACACCCTTCTTACGTTGTAATTCTTCTAGCACTCACAAGAACATAGCTGCATTCAGCTTACTGTTCGTGATCAGGACCTTGATACTGTCACCATTATGTTTGCCAAGAGTAGGCATAGAACACGTCCTGACAAAGTCTCCCCAGGGTATAACGCAGAGAACCATCGTCAGTCTGTTGCAAATTACTCGAAGTCATCCTACTACAATATATAAGAAAACTAAAGAATATGTAAAAGATAATACTTAAATAGCAGCGTTAATTAATTTTCCTTCTCTATTCTAAAAATAGTAATCTCTGCGTCATTTCGACACTGCGTCAGCACTGCGACACTGCGTCATTTCGACACTGCGTTTAGCACTGCGTCATTTCGAAACTAAACCATGTCCTGTGACTCTTACAAAATTCTGGTGATGTAAATGGAACTAAAACCCAAGCAGCCAATAATAATTTTACGGCAAAATTAATTATCCAATCAAAATGGATTGAGAATCTAAATTAACCCGGTCTGAATTAAAATTTCAATCTGAACATAAAATGCTCGCTCGCTTAGCTTGGGCCTAGCTGGATGGCTCTCTGATGATTCCTACTTACTGCAAAATTATCAAAAATGTAAAGCTCTTGAAATAGGCACAAATAATGTGCCGACTTGTTTGTGGCCGCAGCATGTTTACTGAAATAAAATGAAGATTTCACCTACGTCGGTTGCCACTTTCCTGTTCCTTATGGATCAACATTCCTATGCCATCAAAATTCCTGCTGTTTATTACTTTTAAGTTTTTTTCTATCACACACACCACGGTGGAATTCATGTCTTCTTACTGATGAGTTGGATCTCTTCTTACTTTTAAACTATGTATATAATTTATATAATTTATATTAGAATTATGTGGTAACATAGTAAGTTAAATCGAAACTAATTATTTACTTGCCTTTTTATATTATTTTAGATTGTATTTATTTTATATTTCATTTATTATTCTTGCAATTTTTATGATGTTTAGAATTAGTTTTTTTCGCTTATTTTGTTTGTTTGCGCAATTCATGTCGGGAAGTACCTATATAGGTTTGGGATTCTAAATTAATTTGGCTATGTACTTTTAATTTATAATAACTTTTATATAATATAATAACTTAATATCATTTATAGCGATGAAAGCGCAGAGGGGAAATACAACCCCTTTTTGTTTTACTCCTCACCAGAGAAGACAGCATTGCTACAGGTCTCTTTTTTAATATTTCTTAAAAAAAATTTTCTTGGTCTTAGCAAGACCCACGCTGTTGGTTGTTTTATTTTTTCCTTCTTCCTTTAAATTTAATTTCAGATGCATTTATAAAGTTTTAATTCTTTAAGCTTGCAGGCCCAGCCCGTACGTTATTGTATATTTTGACTAATAGCATACCGCTATTTATTTTTATTTTTATTATTGCTGTACATCGGAATTGCATTTACATTTTTTACACCTTAATGTGTCAATTTGTGCGGACGCGTCGGGAAATTGGAACAGAGAAATGAGACTAAAAAATTTTTTTAGGACAATTCATCTAATTAATTAAAAATTTCGTAACACAAAAGTTTCAATTGTCTGTTTCGGTGAAATGCGTAATGGAGTTAGTTTAGGTTCGACGTTTAACTCAGAAATTTCCCTTTTAAAAGCCAGGTTGGACCTCGAATTGGGCTAATTTACCATTTTCCGCTTTTTAATTTTTGTAATTTTTTTATAATTTTTATGTTTTTGCCTTTTAAACTTGTTCCATCGATTGGTTTTTTACTGTGTTTTATTTTTTGGCTTTAACTTGTTCCATCAATAGGTATTTTACTGTATTTTTTGCCATGTAACTTGTTTTATAATTTACATTTTATTTCGCATGTAGCCTAATATATTACTTCATTCAATTTGATTAGTTTTTTTTTACTGTGTTAAAATTTCCGAAAATATTTAACATACAGTTTTTTATTCGAACTTGTAAATAACCACTGAATACGCATATGTTGGAGTTTTCTTGGAGCCACAGCTTTTGGTAACTTTTTGGCGAGCTAACTACAATTTCTCTTCTCATTTCCTTAATTTTGCAGCACATTGCGGGAAAAAAAAAAAAAAAAAAAAAAAAAAAAAAAAATTGTGACCAAAATTGTTTTTTTTTTGTATTGTTCTTACAACTTTACTTATAATATATATATATCCATGAGCGCCGGTACAAAATTTTTAAAAAGAGAATGACTTATTAGCAAACATAGCGAGTAGAGCAACTCTTTTATTTCTTGGCATAATGGTTACTTTTATTTATTTATTTCTATGAGCATTTTTGATGCATCACTGACGAATCGGCGTGAGAGAATGTTATGTTTTTTAAGATACTGCGGTAAGGAGAGAAGCAGACACACTGATTTAGATAGAGGTATAAACGGAGAGAGACTATGGCATGTCCAGTACTAAAGTTCGGTTTATATTAATTTGGCTTTAGTTTAGTTTTATTTTGATTGGTTAATATTTAGTTTTGACCTGACAATTTTAAATTATTATTTGCACAAGAGGTACGTGCACATTAACGTGATCGAAGATAACGACTTGGATAAGTTTTGAAATGAAGCGTTTTAGAGAGGTTTATCTTAAGCATTTACTAATTTTATGTACAGAATGGGGAACTAACCAAATTGAACTAGAGAGTTAGGGCACTTGAGAATTAAGGTTAGCATTTCCAATAAAAAAAATTTTGTTAATCATATGATGCCAAATATTGGTAGTATCGTGCAAATTCTAGTTCCGTCCGCCAAGAAGTAGTCGACGTAGACTCATTTGTGGTTTTTAACTTTCAGGGTTGGCTACATCAAAAGTAGTGTCATTTCAGCGTCATTTGATAGGTAAAGAGGTTACGAGAAGGTAGACATGACGAAGTGGTTACATAATATTTAGCATCTTTTATGAATTTTTTAAAGGATTCTGCTCAGCCTAAGCTTATGTCTGTCAACAGCGTCTTTTATAAAAATGGCTAAATACGAATTTTTCGAAATTTTTAAGGATAAGCTATGTATGGTTTGTAAGGTGTACGCCTATAATTTTAACAGATTAGTAGCATAGTGGTTAAAATCCCTGAGTACTGATAGCTCGACCCTCGTTCCATTCACAGTCAAACGGGTGTTTCCATGGGCGTTTTTGTGGTTTTCTCCATGTGCTGGGCTCGAAAGGACTGATTGTGCAAGATGCCATGAACGCTCGGATCGAATCTTGAAGAATGGGCTAATTGCATTAATATTTTCATGTTTTTAATGCTAGAATCAAATGAATATTAAAAGGAAAAATAATAATTACTTGTTTCTTAATCTGGGAGATCTTCGGACTCTTATGGAACGCCTGAAAATTATATCAACTTAAGATCAAACAGGAAGTACACTATATTTTAGTACTAAAACAAGCATAATAATAATAATAATAACAACATAGAGCATGAATTAATGAACCCTACTTTCACAGTTAGTATATAATTTGTTAAATAAATGTAACATATATAAGGGAGTGACAACAATAACAATAATTTATAATTTGATGTAAATTGCGTTCCGAATTTACATTGATAGGGTTTCGTATTATTAAAACACACACACACAAAAAAATTATTTTTTAAAATTTTGCTATCATAATTTTAAATTCAGCTGTCTGTAAAGGATTTTGTTCAGCTTATAAGTTTTACAATAGTAAAATCGCTGGAAAGTGAAAGAAACGTAAACGAAATAGATTTTTTAACTATAGGAGACATTCAGTTTTAAAAGAAGAGTAGTGAAAAAAAATTGTAATGTACCGTCTCTTCTGTTTACTTCTTCTTTTCTGAACTTTGCCTTTTTCTTTTCTGAAAAGAATATAAATTTGAAGTCAAATAGGAACAACTATTAGTTCTAACACAGAGCAACGCACAAAAAAATGTAGAAATTGAAAAGTGTATATGTTTAGAAATCACTGAAATTAGTTTAACGGTTATATACGAGTACAATAAGCTTCCAGAAAACCGGGTAGCGGATCAACGATATGACTTAAAAAAAAAGGTTGATAAATTTGTTCATTGCGGAATGATAGAAAACTGACTATCACCAGCAATCAGCGTAAAACAAAGCTCTCTAATAAAAGCACAGAAAAAGGAAAAGAAAAATTACAGGAAAACAACTTTATTTAAAAATAGTAGTGTCATGTTTTCAAATTATGGAATTTAAAATGCATAGCTTATCTTTTATTCTTATAATTTTATTATCAGTTACCCAAAATGAGCTTTAGCTATATAAATGACGCCTAGCTAACACGTTTCCAACTCATGCAAGCTTTACTTTCACTCAGCTAACTTGAAAGTATATAAGTAAAGTATATATGTAATATGTATATATGTTGAAAGTAAAGTAGAAAGTAGTAAATTAATTATTGAGAGATATATATAATATAAGTAAATAGGTAAAACATATATGTAATAGGGCCCACCAGCGACCGAGCGGTAAAGTCGCTGAACACTGGTAGTTCGGTCCGTGGTTCGAATCCCTCGAACAGGCTGGCTGCATGGGCGTTTTCATGGTTTTCCCGATGTGTAACGTGTATACGAGCCAGTTTGCATTAGAACGTTCTCCACGAAGGCATCCCTCCCCTTAGGCAGATAGCCCTAGTGTGCTTTGCCATAATTAAATACACACACACACATATATATAATATGTATATGTGTATATATGTTGAAAGTATATATTCCAGTATATGAGTGTGATCTCGAGCTTTCACATTTATCTTCGATAATTAGAATGTTATGTTTAGGGAAGAACGAAACCTCCATTACACGGCCAGCTGGGATTGTTAACAATATAATTTTTCTCCATATATAACGTCTCAATTAAGGTTTTCTGGGGCCAGCATTGCCATCTCCCATCTAAATGCTCTTCGTAACATTAGGTGAGGATAAAAAAAAAAAGGCTTTTCAGCCTTCTCCTCCCTCCTACTAGTGTTTCTGCGGCAGCATCAAATGCAGTGCATTTGAAACCCTACTATAGTTGATAGATAAAGAGGTTTTAAGAGATTCAAAGAAGGAAGAGAGGACGAAGTGATAACATAGGATTTACCATCTGAAATTTTCTAGAGCTTCTGCTCAACTCTAAGCATATGTCTGTCAACAGCGGTCACTTTATTTATGAAAATAGCTCATACTGAATTTTTGGAAACATTTAAAGACAAACTACCTATGGTTTGTAAGGTGTATGCCTATAGTTTTAACCCATTAGTAGCATAATGGTTAAAATCCCTGAGCACTGATAGTTCGACCTTCGTTCCATTCCCAGCCAAACGACTGTTTCCACGAGTTTTCTCCATGTGCTGTGCTCGAAAGTACTAAATGTGCAAGGTGTCATTTATATTGCGATCGAATTTTGAGTAATGAACTAGCTGCATGAGTATTTTTATATTTTTCATTGTTACAATCAAATGAATTTTAAAAGGAAAGAAAAAAAAAATAATTACTTGTTGCTTAGTCTCAAAGATCTTCGGACTGCAATGGAATGTCTGAAAATTATATCAATTTAAAATCAAACCGAAGGATGCAATATATTTTAACACTAAAACAAGCATAATAATAATAATAACTTAGAGATTCATGAACTCTACTTTAATAGGTAGTATGCAATTTTTTAAAATAAATGTAACATATAGAAGTGAATATCATTTTGCAAGATAACTATGAATAATATTATTTCATAAATTAACGTGTTTTCAAAAAAAAAAAAAGACAAAGAATTTCACTTCACTTAAACCATTCAATATCATTTCCGATTGCGAATAAATATATTATATATAGTAGGGTTATTCTCTAAAAATTTAATTTAATAAGAACTAAATTTATTATAAACCAATTTCGCCTTGCTATAAAAAATATTTAATTATGAGTAAAAGTAGCAATAATTAAAAGGGCAATAATTTTAATACAATAAATCAAAATAACTTTATCCTATAAACAAATGGAGAAAAAACGAACAAAGATAAAAATGAATCAACAAAAACAAAAGTAGTATTTTTGTTTCGATTTCCTGTATCACTTACTATTGTTTATTTAAAGTGTTATATCAAGAGATAGTTAATAAATTAAAAGTTACGAATTGGTGCGAAGTATGGCCGTTCATGAAAGAAGTTTACATTTTTTAAGATATTGCGGTAAGAAAGGACGCAGCGACAGTTATTTACTTAGAGAGAAATACGGAGAGGAAACGTTACGTGTGCAATAGGAAAACATAGTTCGGAATTACTTGATTCTGGTTTAGCTTTGAAATGAAGCATTTAGAGCGGATCATTATAATCATTTACTATTTTTAAAGATAGAATTGAGGAATAACAAGTTAAAGTAGAGAGTTAAGGGATACTTGAAATTAAAATTTCGGAGAAAAGACATTTTGCTACTCAGGTTATGCCCACTGTTGGTAACGCCATGTAAATTCAAAATTCATCTGCCGGGAAGTAGTCGATTTGGGCTGAGTTGCAATTTTTAACCTTCAAAGTGTTTTTAAAACCCCCGAGCGGTAAAAGGCACTGAACACTGGTAGTCCGGTGAACGAACGGGCTGGCTGCATGAGCGTTTTCGTGGCTTTACGTAACGTGGATACGAGCCAGTTTCCCTTAAAAAGACCTCCATGGAGCATTCCTCCCTTTCCGTGTAGTGTCTAAGGGCGGAGCACGTAATATGTAAAAAATTTTTTTCTAAGGATATTGCTTTACACTATTCCAAAAGTAGGATTTATTTATATTTTGCCAGCCAACTTAAAATAGTGGTTATTCACTCTGAGTGCCGTAACGAAGGGCTCGGGTTTAAATCCCGCAGAAGGCATGGGTGTTTGTAAATGTATAGTGTTTCTGCGGCGTGTGGTCACTCACAATACGCGGAGAGCCGAAAGTCCTCTCTAGAGGTTTGTGGTAGGGAAAGGTGGGTGGGAGACCCTCGGACCCGTCCGCCGCAGGGTGCTCTCCTGAACTCACGGATAGTGACACTTGTGATTGCGGTGAGCAAGGCTCGCCAGGTCACTATGACTTTACATGTGAGTTTACGAGACTCGGATAGATATTGGAGGGAATGGACCCCGCATTTATGAGACATGCCGATTCTCATATTAAATTAAATAAAGTACCACAGATCTGCAGTGAACGGTACTCATTTCGGGAAACCAAAAGGCATCATAGTACAAAGTCACAGACTCATTTGCTTTGCAAAATAGTGGCTTTTAAAGAAAGTTTCCCACCACCGCAAATATCGTCTGCGCAAACAGTTGGCGTTCGCGTGTTTGCCACAGATTTGCAATGAACGGTACACATTTCGGAACAACTAAAACACTTCAAGGTACTAAGTGATAGACAGGGTCGTCCCTAGAACATTAGCTGCCCTCCTAAGATTGGCGCACCCAAATTTTAAAAAAATGCTCAATGGTTAATAAAATTTTTATTTCATTCTTACTAAGGACTTAGATATGACAAATTATATAAAAAGTACTTACATATGAAAAGTACCTACAAAGAACTTAAAATATTTAGGCGTGGTATCGCGAGAGTCCGGTTGCTCCTGATTTTGACTGCCCGCATACTTTAACGTGCTGCATCCCCGCTAGGAACTGCACTGGTGATAGACTCGTTCGCTTTGCAGAGTATCGGGTTTATCGAAAGTTTCCCACCACAACAAATATCGTCTGCGCAAACAGTTCGTATTGGCGTGTTTAATCATATTTTCTGAAACGATTTTTTGCATTTCAAAGAAAGAGACTTGCTTTAGTACATTATATTGTGAAAATTGTAAAACAATATCGTTATCATTAACTACAAGGTGTCTGAAACGGAACTATCACGCTACCAGATTACAGAGAATGTTCACAGATTTTTGCAACGATTTTGCAAAAATTTATATATAAACAAACCTTAGAATTTTATTTTCTAATATGTTCCATCTGATAGCCCTTTTGTTGAATTATCATATTACACCTTGATTTCGAAGATAAAAGTCCTTTTCTTAGAACATCAAAGTTGATTTTATTCCACTCCTGCATTACAATCTTCCAGAGTTCATCCAATGTTTTGGGATACCGCTTACAAAAAGCTTGTTTTAAAAGTACAAATGCACAGTAATTTATAGAAAACTTAGATACATAAATCTACAGGATGGATTATCAGGGGACTTAGATGGGATGCATTTAAAGGGAATAGCTTCAATTCCGGTTTCATTTCTCATTTTTTTCAAAAACTAGAGCAGTATATTTAGAGGTATGGCTTGGAGCCTAATCCTGATGGAACTTAACACAGTGAAGATTATTTGCATAAAGAGATGGAATTTCTTCTTTAAAAATAGGGGTTAAAACATATTTCTATTACTTCTCTTAGTAGCTATGTTACTTATTTCATCTCTAGTTTGCTAGCCGTAACTGTTAATGAAAGTTTATGGACGTTAAACAAAGCTTGTGTTTTCCCTTTGTCGCGTAACATAACATTTTAATTTTATTAAAAATGTTTTCTTGATGATCCCACAAGCTGTGTAGATTTACGTATTTTTTTATACAGAGGCTACTTAACCTTTAGTCAGGCAACTGAAAAAGAAGATTTATTTTAAAATACTGAATCGCAGTTCTTTTACTTAGAACTTTAAGGGGAGGCGATAAATATTCCGTCTGTCTTTATAGGTCCAGTAGTTTACAGTCAGAACAGGGTGGATAGAACCTCGTCTGGCTAGAACTCTGGAACTAAACGAGCGTCTAGACGTCTGCCATGTTACAAAGGACTTTCAAATCAAATATTTGTACATGTCTGTAGAAATTTGGAGCGCTAAACATTAATTTTACATCTGTATTTTGAAATAAATTCTTTACAGTAGTTATAAGTATATTTTTTTCTGTATTATTAATTTTGATTTGGCTGTATTTGAAAACCAGCTCAAGATTCAACAGCCATTGCTGAAGAGTTCGACTGGTATACAGATGAAATATGTGACCGAAGCAACATTTATATATCACGACATGAACTGCTAGATTTATTAGTAGTAGGTTATCTATATTCAAAATTATCGAGACAATTCAAGAGATAGTTTCGAAAATTTTCTGTGATGCTCGGAGTACTGATTACTTAAAAATTATGGCAACTTCGCTAGAAATTATACTGAAGCAATGCAGCACTCATTGTATATAATTGTGTATAATTTGTTAATCGTGTGAGCCCTGGTCTGATTTGCCAAAATCAATTAGGTATCAAGATTAAACAAGAAGAGAATGTTTTTGTTTGCAAACCGTTATTCAGGTTCATCCGGCCGCCAGAAGGTGTCAAGGAAGCTAGCCGTGGCAGTAAATTTGTCCCTGAATTCCCACTTGCAATCCGATAGGAACAGATGGATTTCTCTCAACTCATACAAACAAGCAAAGCAGTTCGTCCCAAGAAGGCCACCTTATCCCGAGGGAACAAAGATGCTTGTGCTCTCCTTACGTTTTGTAGTACTACGAAGAAGCTAGAAAAGTCTGCTTTCTATTTCATGAAACTGATTTTCTCCACTCATACTGAGTTACAAAGTCATGAAGATAAAGTATATATTGTGCTTTTGTCAAACTTCCAGTACAAACTTCCTCGACTTCCTTTACTACTGCAAGGCTTTTAGCCCTTAAACTATTTTAAAGTGATGCGTCAGGGAACTTCATTGTAAGATAAGATGCAATATTTGGTTTACCAGATACTACTTCAGCTTTCTTTTGCTTAAAAAACACAAGGGCTTTATTTTCCACATTAAATGCTTTTGATGTGAAAATAACTTCATTGAATTGTTAAAAATATCTAATGACAAATAACGAGCAGATGTGTTGTTTGTTATATGTAAGGCCCTAAGGCAGTGAAAAATTGTATCAAAAAGTGTTTAAGGTCATATCTTGTTTCAGGGTCATCGAAACAGATGGACCTGATTTTAAACAGTTTTGTAGAAAAAGTATTTGAAACAGCTTAGCATTTTTCACAGAAAAGTTCAATTTTTTTACCTACATAATTACTAAAGCTCAATATGAGCTCCGATGTGATTGTCGCAAAGGCGAAAAGTTATCAGTTTGCAACAAGATGCCATATTCCATACATTCACCAAACATTGTGTTGAAGAGTTACAGCAGACTTTTCATGTATATGCATGTTCTGCATATTTTATTCATGGTTGCTGTCTTCATCCGAACTAGCTCGTTAAAGGCGACGGAGCTATTACTCCTAATAAAAGCCTTTTGGCATGTCAGTAATATTACTCGCCCGTCGCTACAGAGATGCGAATACAAATAAAACTTAGTAACTTTCTGATTATTTTGGTATAACAAATAAGAAGAGTGATTTGCAGTTAAGCACGGCGTACTGATATAAGATATTTTCTCTCTCTTCCAAGCATGCCTTCATAGTGTAACGGTTATCCCACTCGGCGCGTATTCGAGAGGTCCAGGGTTCGCGCCCCGGTGAGGACAATGTTCATTTTTCTCGTCTCCCATATAAAAGTAACCTAACGAATCTACAGTGATTTAAAATTTCGATGAACTATACGGCATAAAATAATTGCTCCACAGCTCCCAGAAAGTAAAACTAAAAGACGCCCTATTAATTTCATTTGAGGAATCAATTACCTGTTTGAAGCCTTTACAATATGATGTATGTGTTATTTCTGTAGGCAACCTTTTTTTGGTGTAATAATTTCATTAAGAAAGAAATTATGTCTGAGAACATTGAGCTGTTCCTTTTGTCTGATCCCTGGTTGGATTATTCTTATTTGCATCCAATGTATCTAACAGATCTATCTTCACAAAGTAAATATAATCCTCTTTAAATGTCTTAATGAAACCTTCTCCTTCGCATCAGTTTTACGTAAAAAAAATAGCAAAATATATGACAAAGTTTCCGACAGCTATTGTCTAATTACCATTTGTTAGAGTATTTTTACTAGTAGATCAATCTTGTTCCAGAAATGAAAAGCATATAGCTTAATGGCATATTTAAGATGAAATTATTGTAAACTTCAATACACTGCAAGTAATACATGCTTAAATGTAATTTTGAAGGTTTTTCTGCGAACTTTTCTATATCTCACATTCATTTTCATAAGCAAACTCACACTAATTACTGTGCTGACATTAATTGTCATTAACGCCGACCCGTTCTACTAGCTATGTTATAAAAAATAAGTCAATTGCTTATATTCATAATAAAGCTAAATAATATAAAAATTTACCTATCTTATAAAAATGCTTACCCATAGTGATCATGAATCACAATATATTTCTCCATAGCAAAAGATGGACAGGAACAGAAGCTGCAAATGAAAGATAAGAGGTTAGTCTAAGGTGCAGCAGTCTTCGGTTTCCATTAATCTTTTATTAATTAAAGGTACTTTTATATTTTTCAATTGCAATTTTTACGTATGTTTCAATTTCCTTTGAAAACTTATCTTGAATAATTTTGCAATTCATTTTTCTTTAATTTAAATTTATATGATAATTTTCTAAGTATATCGCTCAAAATTTTTGCCTTTATCTATTTAATTTTCTCCCAAAGCTATTATTTTTCCGTCTTCTTATTTACTTCAACTGTTATCTTAACCTTACTTAGCTTTTTATTGTTTCCTTCGTATTTTAAATTTCTATCTTAAGCCATGATCCAAAAAAACATTGCGACCATTCCTACACCGGAAGAATGCAACCAGTCGCCGCAATAACGTTGATAGTACGGAATAAGGGGGGGGGAATGTTATTTAAAGCTTGATAGAAATTAGTTTTACGTTTGTGGAAATTATTTAATTAATTGATAGATGGCGCTAGCGTTGCGTGTTAACGAGACGCGACGTGCCTTCTGAATTTCCATAGACTCTCCACCGGCAGCTCGATAGATGGATGTCTGATGGTTCGCACACTATTTGATTAGGAACACTTCGGTTCCTATTGCGAAGACTTATTTAGTAAAGATGCACACACTTATTTGATTTTCGATTATGAAAGCATATAGATTTATTTGTCAACTGAACCACCATGTTTGATCTATGATCTGTAAATATTGTACATATTAAAAGTTACATTTTAAAAGTGATTGATGTCGATTTATAGATCTTAGAATATTTTGAAACAGCTGGTGCATTAAAGGCCGTCAAAGAATTTGGATTTAGCACATTGCAAGTGTGCGAAGTCAGGCAAAAAAGGTAAGACTAAATTTTCTAATTTGTAGAGTAAAAAACTATGGCGGAAGAGTCTGTTGGTTAAATTAAAATCGAAAAGCAAAAGTTATCAGGACCACCGTGTCCAAGATTCTAAAAAAAATCGAATCGGAAGTTGAATAAAGAAGAAATTGATACAAGTACATTAGAAGAACAGTTTAGATCCAATTAATCACGAAATCGAAAACTCTTGAGTGAGTTAGATGCTCAGATAGAGCGTGACTTGAAATCAGAGGCAGAAGAGTTTGAAACAGAAATTCTATCTTGTATCGAATACGAAGAGAAAATTCAGTTATGGCAATTCAGAGCAAATAAAAAATTGAAAGAATTGAATAAAGTAACAAATTCGGATAATGAAAACTCTCTTAACGAAACTAATTCTAAAATCGAAAGCATAAATGTACGCGTCTGCCAAAATTAACCATCGCTAAATTCTATGGAGATTACACCCAGTGGGCAAGTTTTTGGAACTCTTTCAAAGTAGCAATTCCACGATAATGAATCTTTAACAAAGATCGAAAAATTTAATCTCGTATTTAAAATCGTACTTATGCGGCAACGCCGCAAACGCGATAGAAGGCTTTTTGTATTTCGGAACCAAATTACGATGAAGTTATTGAAATACTTAAAAATAGGTTTAACAGGTTTGGCAGGAAAGATATAATTATGAACTCACCACATGCAAAAACTCCTGAATCTTACCCCAGTAACCAAATCCAGTGACACTGTAAAACTTCGCAAACTTGTGACACTATCGAAACTCAAATACGCAGCTTGAAATCATTAGAAGTCACACCGGATAAATACAGTTATATGTTGATTCCAGCCATAATGAAAACTCTGCCGTCTGATATAACCTTAGAATTCAATCGTAAAACGGATTCGTCATCCTTTTTTTAATGTTGACGAATTATTGCAGTTTGTTCGTTTAGAATTGGAAAGTCGCGAGAGAAGCCATCTTTTGCTCTCCACTCATAAATCAGAAAGCACTTCCTGTGTTTATAAAGAGAAGGGTGGGAAGGGGAGTATCGTCCATTTCCACTTACCAGCTGCTTGGCGCCGGTTAAAGAAAACAAAACTACTAATTGCTGTCTGTTTTGTAATACATACCAAACATGTTACTGAAGACTGTGAATCACTGACAGTTGATGAGAAGAGAAATTTATTACGTAAACATTCCCGATGTTACCTTTGCCTGAAATTAAACCACTGCCTAAAGCTAGTGTCGAAGCGATCTCGTCTGCTCCAAGTGCAAAGGTCAGCACATAATCGTTCAATATGCTTTCGCGCTGAGAAAAGAACGAAATGAAAAAAATAAAAGTATAGAAGATTCGCATGTTCTTTCAGCATTCTCACGCAGCAAAATTAAAACTATTTCACTTCAAACTTGTTGCGTAACACTTCGAACAACTACGCAGTCGGTTTTAATTAGAGCTCTACTGGATTCAGGTAGTATGCGTTCCTTCCTAAGCAAAGAAATCGCGGATAAATTGAAGCTTCCTGTTATTCGAACAGAGACTCTTTCGGTATTTACGTTTGGAAATAAAACACCCATTAGAAAAAACATTTGACGTTGTTAAGATAAAATTACAGAACAAGGAAACACCGAATTTGAAAATCGAAATTGAAGCTCTCGTGACTGAACAAATTTCAAGTTCTGATTTACCACCTCCTAATCTGGATAGACACATTTTAGGCAAACAGTTAGAAGGTTTACAACTCGCAGATTCTTGGGATTGCAAAGAAAAAATTACTCTTTTGATAGGAGCTGATCATTATTATGATGTAGTAACTGGGAAACTTAAGCGTTTAGACAAACATTTAGTAGCTGCTGAAACGTTATTCGGTTGGTCTCTGCTAGGTTACACTAAAGGTACAACACACACGTCCACAGCCTTTAATATCATAGTTGAGGAAGATATAATATCTGATCAGATAAAGAAATTTTGGGAGCTTGAAAGTTTAGGTATAAAACCTGAAAATGAATTATCCGACCCATTAGACAATACCATAATGGAAAAATTCGAATCGGAAATTTATATACAAAAAATTCTCGTTACAAGGTTAGGCTGCCATGGAAGTCTGATAGAAAATATGAGTTACATGACAATAAAGCGATTGCGCTGAAACGATTTGAGAAACTTGTAAAGCGATTTCAGAATAAACCCTGAACTCTTTTATTCGTATCAAACAGTTCTACAAGATTATTTACAACAAAACATCATTGAACCAGTTCCAGACACTGTTGATAGTGAATCTCAAATCACATTTTATTTGCCTCACAGAGAAATCGTTCGTAGTGATCGAACTACTAGTAAAACTACGTATCGTATTCGACGCGTCTTCACATGGACCTGGTGAAAATCTCGTTAAACGACTGCTTGCATATTGGTCCAAATTTGTATCCTGACATTCTTGAACTTCTGTTGGCCTTCAGGCTTCATCCTGTAGCATTTACAAGTGACATAAAGCAGGCTTTTCTTCAGATAGAAGTAGATGAGAAGGACAGAGATGTAACGCGTTTTCTGTTTACTAAAAAACCCATTCGATGATCCACAAAAAATTTTATAACTTATCGGTTCACACGTGTGTTATTTGGTTGTAAAGCAGTCCAACTTTTACTGGCTGCAACCATTAAACACCATTTGAAACAATATGAGAAAACCTACCCTGCCACTTGCGAATTTCTAAATGATCACATTTATGTAGATGACATCATTGGAGGGACACCAAAACGTTGAACTTGCTTTCAATACCAGTTTAGAATGCGTCAGCATTTTTAGAGATGCTAGTATGATTCTACATAAATGGCACACCAATTCTCAAGAACTGCGCGAATTATGGATTAAAGAAGGTATTGAATCCGAGGAATCTAGTCATGTTTCGGAAGCTGGAAATCCTCCATTGAAAGTGTTAGGAGTCGCTTGGGGACAACCAAAGGTGACATAATTTACTTGATGTAAAAAATTTGATAACATTTCTCAAAACAAGTTAATACTAAACGTTTCGTCCTACAAGCAATAGGACGAATTTTTGATCCTGTAGGTCTATTATCACCGTTTGTACTTAGAGTCAAAATCATATTGCAGCAAAATTTGGACACTTGCTTTAGATTGGGATGATGAACTACCAGAAAATTTATGTTCTGTATGGAAAACATGGTGCAAAGAAGTTTCCAATTTGGACGAAATCGGTATTCCACGATATTATTTTTCTGCAATCGGTAATAGTGATGTGGAAAGGATTGAACTGCATTGTTTTTCTGACGCTAGCAAAAAGGGCATATGGTACAGTAGCGTATCTACGTATAATTTCTAGCAATGAACAAATATTTACGGTTTTTGTTGCTTCAAAGACTAGAGTAGCGCCTTTAAAAACCGCTCACCTTACCTAGGTTGGAACTAATGGGAGCTCTTTTGTCAGCCAAATTAGGCACTAGCATCAATAAAGTTTTTGAAGTTACAACCTTCTTGTTTTTTTTCTGGACTGATTCGAAAATCACCACTTTTCTGGATAAAAGACTGTGCAAAGAAATTTAAGCTTTTCGTTAAAAATCGTATTCAGGAAATACAAAAATTTGACATCCCCAGAAAATTGGCATTATTGCCCCGGTAAATGTAATCCCGCTGATTTGGCTTCGAGAGGAGCTAAACTTCCAGATTTGAAAAACAATCCTATCTGGTTTCAAGGACCAGAATGGCTTTAGAATGTCGTCTGAGTTGTGGCCTCGACAGAATGAAGAGAAACCTGTCCACTGAAGAAGAATTAGAATACCGCAAAAATATTAATGATATTTATGAATTTGTATGCACAGGCAGTTGAAGAAAGGACTTATAGACATCTCAAAATATAGTCAATTTAGGAAAATTGTTGAAGAATAACTGGTTGGATGAAACGATTCATTGGTAAAATTAGGAAAACAAACCATTTGACAGGTCCATTAACGACTGAAGAAATAGTAGATGCCGAAAATTATTGGATTCGATCTGAACAAGAACGTTTTTATCCCGAAAGAAGTTGAGTCTCTGAAGAAAAGCGAATAAAGTCGAAAAGAAATCAGCTCTTTATATCTTTTTAATCCCATTTTTAGACCAGAAACGGGATAC